CTAGTAAGGCACTTGTTACTAGAAGCGATGCACTTGTTACTAGTAGCTTCTTGTTTCTACTAGCTTCTTGTTACTACTAGTAAGGCACTTGTTACTAGAAGCGATGCACTTGTTACTAGTAGCTTCTTGTTCCTACTTGCTTCTTGTTACTACTAGTAAGGCACTTGTTACTAGAAGCGATGCACTTGTTACTAGTAGCTTCTTGTTCCTACTAGCTTCTTGTTACTACTAGTAAGGCACTTGTTACTAGAAGCGATGCACTTGTTACTAGTAGCTTCTTGTTCCTTCTAGCTTCTTGTTACTACTAGTAAGGCACTTGTTACTAGAAGCGATGCACTTGTTACTAGTAGCTTCTTGTTCCTACTAGCTTCTTGTTACTACTAGTAAGGCACTTGTCACTAGTAGCGATGCACTTGTTCCTAGTAGCTTACTTAAGCTACACTAGGAACTGGACGCAGGATAGCTCGCGCTTCTTCAAGGAAAGGGAAGCTTCTTTGAAGAAGCGCTCGCACTAATGATTTGGTTCCTTGATGTTTATAGATTTTTTAGGGAAGCTTAACTGCAAGTTTCAGATTTTCAGGGAGTACCGGAAAAGCATATACCATTGCTGCCATGCAAGACTTATGAGAACTGCCACAGTTTTGGCGGTCCCTTTTCATCTCGTGGGTCAAGCACGTTGGGGTTCCTCGTGATCCACAGAAGCAGCCAGCAAACACTTGCCCCGTTTTGATGCTCACCTCCGTTGTGTTGTGCACAAAGTGATTTGTTGGTGAAAATCAGATCTCCTATCATCTCCTTAAATGCTGAAAGGGCTCGTGATACTTAGCACGTTGGGCTCTGCAGCACCGGATGATTGCACGGCTTGCAGGAGACGTATGGCTCGTTCCGGCTGGCCGGCCTCATCTGTGGCCAACATGGCAGCATTGAGGACCGCCTCAGGTTTTCGTTGACCATCCAGCTCTCAGAAACTGGGCTCCACCCCTTGCAAGTCTCGTGCTTTTGTCGCTTCAAGTTGATTTAAAATGCATTCAACTCTCTCTCTCTCTCTCAAACTGTTGCAAAGCTTCCGTGTTCAGCTTGACTTTTGGCCGCCGTCGTAGGTCACCTCACCCCAACATCCTCCCTGTCTGAGGCTTCGCCAAAGAAGCAAAAGAACAGGGAAAAAACCCAACGACCTCTGTGGCCGGGGCCCCTCTCGGGGCCGGGTAGTTATCTATTGTTCGCTGAGTGACGGAAGAGTGACAGCACTGCAGGCCATTCCGAGTTCAAAGCAGCTAGCATTGCACCTTGCATTCCATCATCTGTATGTCTCTGTGAGTCTCCTTGACTTTCCCCGGTCATTGAACCAGATCTTCAGGCAGAATGTCCGTTCTGTAAACCCATCCGGACCTGTATAGGCTTCCGCTCCGACATCGCAGGTTGCCCAGCGCATCTCTGAAAGCAGTAGTGCTGCTGCTTTCCACTGCTTGCCCTGGAAGCTACAGTGTGTTGGAATGCTTCTCATCATGATTCTCATCCTCTTCAAGCTCTCCCCCTATTTCCTCCTCTCTCCTCTCTTTGTTTGCTCTATGCCTCACATCCAGATCAGGCCGCTCCTGTCCACATGCGGATGATGCAATGCGCCAGGAGGCAGCATCTCTTTGGGCGTTGTCCTGGCACAAAAATTGTGCGATGGAGACATCAATTTGTGACATCATACCAAGGTGGTCTAGTCGCTCTAGTTTACAGTTAAGCTTTGTTTACATAAACTCGCTACCAACAAAGTCTGGCATCCTTCTCGGAAGAGCATCCCATCTTATCCCAAATCTGTCATCTTCGGAACCAAAAGCACCGTCCTGCCGCATACCGTCCAAGACTTGTAAGGCTTTCGGCCACCTAGCCTGGGCCACCCACGCATCGTCGGAAGATGTCACTGCTGTGATGCTCGATGACATGCTGAGACCACTTGTGAAACGAGAAAGACACCCGACTTGTGAAACCCAAGTCGAGTGCCGCGAGAGGCAAGTAAAAATGAAAAACAACCTAGAAAGAAGAAAAGAACAAGAAAGAAAGAAAAAAGGAAAAGAAATAACTAAATAAAGAAAGAACATAAAGAAACACATATATTTATAATATATATATATTAATATATATATATATATGTCTGTAAAATAATAACGGAGAGAATGGAGGCGATAAACAAAAAAAGCAGCGACATGTAGAAAGAAATGAAAAGAAATCGGCATCAGCCCAGAGGCAGCGGTCTTCCGATTCCAGGGCATCTCGGGCATTAAGTCAGAAGCGCTTGCCATAGTTGCTCCATAAAGAACCTTTTCAGCTTTCATCTTCCAAAGCAACCGTTTCAAGCTTTTCTCGTTAGTTGGGCGTTTCAGCTGTATTTCACTGGGCTCGGCACCGCATCAGCACGTAATCCTGCAAATACCCCAAAGGACAACTCACTCAATCCGTTTCAATCAGTCTGTGCATTGCTGGCAGTTCGGTCCAAGCTTTTTCAACACAAGCTCTGTGTCTCTGGGAGGATCTGCGCTCGTTTTCTCTTTTCACCGGCCACTGACTTCGTCGAACTTCGAGGTCGACTGTGCGGTCCTCGTTCTTGGGAGTGTGCCAGAAATCTCAGAACTTGCATGCAGGACTTCCATTGGCGGTTTTCCCTGCATGAGTTGATGAGCTTCCTATACAACCTTGGTTCACCAAAGAACGCTGAGCAAACCCCGAGCACATCCACAATCCACCAATTTCAAGCACAAGCGGAAGAGAGCTCCGCAGAAGAAGAAAGCGGCTGGTCCAAATCCGAGAAACGGCAAATCCACAGGAATTCCCTCTTCTTGGGCCACCTGAGCCAATGAAACGGGTTGGTCAAACAGCCGAATGAAATCAATTCAAGGAAGCTATTCAATCCAATTCCTCTTTCTCTTTCTCCCTGTATATCTATCTCTCTCTCTCTCTCTACCAGCACCTGTTCTGCTTTTTTGGGAAGGTGGTATGCCTTGAGCAACAAGGACGCAACAGTTCCTGACGAATTGTAGCAAAGCCAGTGAAAAAGAGACAACACATATTCAAGAGCCTGAGCCATCCTGAGCTTAACATCAAAAGAAACGTAGAAAGAACAGACAAGAAGACAGGTCTAAAGGTCTGAAGAAAAGATTCCTTTGCTAGTAATTACAATTAAATTCTTATTGTTATATACTACTAGTAAGGCACTTGTTACTAGTAGCTTCTTGTTACTACTAGTAAGGCACTTGTTACTACTAGCGATGCACCTCTTACTAGATAGGACAGGTCTAAAGGTCTGAAGAAAAGCCTAGGTGCGTTTTTGGCCTTTGGGTGTTTGACCTGACTATCCCTATCCCGCGAGCAAGAAGGTGCACATACAGACCTTTTCTTTCTTCGTTCCCTTTCTTTCTATTCTGTTATTTCTGTTTCATTCCACTCCTTCTTCCTTGTGCCTTCTTTAGACCTTACAATACATTTTGACCTAAGAAGCGCTTTCTTTACTACCCCTTGTCCATGTTTTGTGACGAGCCACAGCAAGAAGATTCACTGCCTGTTGCCACTGCCCTCGGTAACCGTATTCGGTGATGGCCTCGAAGTAACAAGTTGAAGCTGCCGAACTCACGAAACTCACGAACTCCCTCATGGCAATGCATCGGTGATGAACTTTTTCGCTGAAATCAGCAACGCAAAAACCACTCCATCAAATGACCCCAAAAAACAACGAACACACTTTCTTAGAACTCCTTTTGTGTTAAACCAGTGGCTCAACCGTTGGCTTCCAAACAGAAGGTTCTGTTTGGCCGAACACAGATCAAGCGGGACATTCGGGCGAGGGCAGGACGTCACGACGAAAACGTTTCGGGCCATAGAAGGGCTTCCAACCTGATAGAAATGGCCTCCAACCTAAGAGCGAACAAACTATATGTATCTTTATATGTTATAAATACATATAAATACATGTCTGTCTTTAATTGTCTTTAAATATTTTCCTGTCGTCCCTTTTCTTTCCTTCTCCCTGACTCCAGCTTCAGTCAAAACCACGTGTGTAGACATTGAATGCGCTTTATTTGTTGCAGAGTTCTTAAGCATGTCTCGGTGTCAAGCTCGCCTGGCTGCACAGTGTCAAACCCTTGATCCATGCAGTCTCCATGCGAATCCGGCTCCATGGCTGCTCTCAGCATCCCTTTTGAAGCCAACATATCGGTGCCTGTATGCTTCTATATTCTCATATCTAACGTGAGATGTCTAAGATGTGCAGTGCTTAAATACCATCAACCGTTTCAGCCTGTGGTGTGTCATTGTTCAACAAAGGATAAGGCAAGTACTTTAGCCTTTAGCCATCCTGTGCCACCAGTGCAGTACTGAGTACCAATTCAGTACCCCATGGCTACTAGCCGCGAACGATTCATCAAGAAACCTTATTGTTACTGGTAGTAAGGTGCCTTGTTACCAGTAGCTTCTTGATACAAGTACTAGTAGCGATGGCCTCCAACCTAATAGCGCTGGCCTCCACCTAGTAGCTTTTAGCTACCAGTAACTTCTTCCATGGAAAAACACGGCTAACCGAGGCCGACCGAGGCGGCCTCGCTTCGCAGACCTCGCGTCTCGCAGTTACTCTCGCACCGCGGCTCAGTTGTGCCACGATGGATCGGCGTTCGCGTCTCAGCTCCGCTTTTCGCAGTGCATTCCGATCAGGTGCCAAATGGAGTCTCAGTGCAGGTCACCCAAAGGCGCAGTTAATTGGTTCATAGTTGTTCCACATGTTGCCTGATAAGGCTGAGCAAGATGCAAACTTCTTGGGTGACCCGGAACATAGGTGAAAAACATGGTGCTGCTCTCTTAAAACATCAGAAATGCTTGAGTGCAGTGCTCCCTGAGAAAGACTACAGGGCCAAGTTTCTCGAGCAAACATCGTTCATGGTGCACTATTCTTCATGCTCTTGCTTGATCTTGTGATGACCGTTGCGATCTTTGATCAAACACGTACCTTCAAAGCCAGCGGCCTTTCAAAGAATTGACAAAAAATAGATCTTCACTCCTTCTTCGATGGAAGATCCTTGACCGCCATCAGGATCGCTGTCATGGCATCCCTCAAATCCGTTGGCATCTCCTGGCCCTTCACGTGCGTCACCACCCATTTGGCCTGCACGGCCGCTTCATCGGCCACGGAGTCCTTCTTCACGGCCTTCACGATCATCGGAATCGACTTGCTGAAATCCAAACCCAAGGGCTTCGCGGTGAAAAAGACCTGGTCCGACGCAAGACTGATGGACGGTGTATCCTGGTGCATGTGCATCAGCACTGCCGTGCATCCCTTGTTACTACTAGCGTGGCACTTGTTACTACTCGCAAATAATTTAAATAGTTGTCTTTGCTGTCAAATCATATCAAAAAAATCACTATCAATCATTCAAGACCTGGGCCCCCTCATTTTACACGTTCCTTCCGCGCTGTTACCCTGCTTTCCTGGCTATGTTGCTTCTTCCCTTGCGGCGACAAATGTTCTTGTCTCCCTTTCTGGATCACCAGACTGGGACAAGTTCACTGTTGAAGTTCACACAACAATGTCGTAAGACAAGTTCGCGACAGCTTTTTCACCTGGCCTCTTTTGAGGTGTTGTCTGGCAGCCTGAAGGTGAAGGAAGCACCGGAGGAAGGAGGAGCCTCGACAGCTGGCTTTTCAGCTGCCTTTGGTGTGGGAGGCGTGTCACTTGCCAGGCTGGGCAAGGCAGCCACTTCCTCCACCGTGTTTCCATCGCCCCTTAGCTCATTGAGTAACAATTGACCTGACATTGCAACAGTCAAGTACAGACTCTAAGTAGACTAAGTAGGAAACAGAAGCTTCATCATCCTCTTTGCATGCATTTCCAATCTAGAGAAGCTCCAACAAACTGCTTATCTCAGCTTTCTTTCTCCCGTGATCCTCTCATTCAGCCCAAGGATCGATTCGCAGCAAGCGCAAAACATCTTCACAGCCTTCAGCGAGAAGTTTCTTCAGCCTTCAGCTAAGGTTTTCGGCTTTTGAGCCTGCATATAGCTTCGGAGAACTATGAATTACCAAGAAGCCTCCATGCCAGAAGAGGTTGCCACCGATCTGAACAGCCCCAAGAACGAGAATGACAAGCAACAGCAAGCGGCAGGGCGATCAAGGTTTTTGACTACTCATGTGTCCATCACCCAAGAGAGCCTAAAAGCCTAAAGCAAAACTAGACCGTTCACTGAACGCCGTGGTGAAAAAAACTGTCAACGTAAACGTTTGTTTTCGTCCGTGTCCCGGGTGGTCTGCGCTATCCGTAGGTTCAGGAACTCCTGACCTTGAGCGATCAGCAACCAGCAGCAATGCCGGAGAAGGAATCAAGGGCCACAAATACAATTGATGTTTAGAGGACAACATCACCACAATTAGCACTGATCAAAGAATTCCTCATCAACCTTGTGGCTGCCACTTCGTTTCATTCCAAGAAATTCTCTCCAACACGGCTTGCAAACATTGTCGACACAAACAAAGATATATCTGTGACAGGGACCCCTTGGTATGCTTGGGTTGTGCAAAGACCCTCCGCCTCAAGTTCAATGCCAATAGTTTAGAGGGAACCAACATCGGCAAAACCCGGTATAACCGTGGTGAGAGAACTTGTCCCCAAGGGGTCGCGTCCATCCCTGTCCCACCTGTCAAACGCGAGCATCAGTGACCTACGGCTGTTTGTTCGCCCATTCAAGAAGCATCGTCCAGTCTTTCCGGAAAGACTTGGGAGGAATGTGGCAGCGATGCGCGTACCACTCACCAAACTCGTCTTCGGGTGCCAAAACAACTCCCGGAAAGAGACGACTGGGAGCCGAAATCGAAATGGCAAGCTCTGGAATTGGACAAAGTTCACATTGATAATCTTAGAGCCTCATCTTGGATGGCAAGTTGTTTGCGACTCCGAAATATGAACTGCATGGGTGCTCTGCGAGCACACCTCAACCTACAGAGGTGCACCAAGGACAGCAACACAGCGGCCGCTTTAGGGACAAATTTTGCCTCCTGAAAGGTGCCACTCTGTTGCTCCTCAACTGGGGAGGGGTGAGCAGCTGCTGGAACATTGAGAGTGAAGAGGCCGCTGCAATTGCAATGTAAGCTGAGCAAACTTTGTCAAATGAATGCTGCGCAAATTTATTCAACTCAGGGGTTTGGAATGCCAAAAGGCATGAACATTGTTTTTAAAATGTTCTTAATTTCTATGATGAAATGTACCAATCTTCAAGTATGTATTGTGGATGTGTTCATTTCGACGAATTACGCACCTTTGTGATGTATCTGATGGCACAAACCAAACAAGCCGCCGAAAAAACACAGTCTCCAGTCTACGAATGTCTACGAGTACTCTGCAGGCAGCACGAGCCCGGTGACGCTCGTGTTTGGGGCTCAGACAGCTTGTGCATGCTTGTGCTGCTCTTGGAGAGATGGAGTTGGATTACCCACATCTCTGTGTACGAATGTACCAACTCATTTTAGTTTGAACAAGAGCTTGCATGGTGCTTGTGCGAACAAGTGCAGTCTGCACCACAGAGGACGAGCTCATAATCCCGCATCTAGCTACCTGCAACTGCGTTCATGGAAGAGCACTTCAGGAAGCCCGTACTGAACGTGCAAACAAAGGCATTGATGACACGTAAAGGAGTCAGTCACAGAGTACACCGCTTTGATTCTTTGATTCCTTCAAGAACAATACCGGAATCCTCCTACTGTTTTGGTGGTCGTGTCCTTGTTTTGCGAAGTGTGCACCGACCTTTGCCATCGTTGTAAATCCTGTGATGAACGGTGCAGATTTCCCCGGTTTCTCCTTCCCTTTCTCAAACCGCACGGTGACAGGAGGGTGATGTGTCTGGTCTTCCTGCTCATGCAGGCATGCCCAGTTTGGGATGGATGGCATACATTCACTGACAAGCTGCATGACCCGCCTGAATGTCTGCGAATCAGGGAGAAACCCTTGGTGTGTGGAATTGGAAGGCATCTCATGTGCTTTCTCACATGGCAGGTTTTAACAAACATTCTTTTCCAGACTGTGTCGGAATCAAGCGCTTTTGATCAGATAGTTTCGCTGGCTTCATTTAAGGCTTCGCGTTCTTTTTGCTAGGGACAGTTGGAGATTGTCCTGCTTTTTTCGTGGTGTGCAACACAAAGAGCCCCGCTTCGCCAAAGGTTGGGCCACTCGTTCAATCTGGCCCTTCTCCTGGCACTCCTAGTTGCAAAGGCCTGTTGATTGACCAAGAAACTGACGTCTCTACGCCACCCAATCAACTCCAAGGAAGCGAGTGGCCCAAGAGCTATGGATCTCACCCTGCTCCACACCAACTTACTTGAGGACACCTTGCGAGCCGGCTGGAAGCAAAGAATGGAGCAAAATGCGGAAAGCGACATGATTTCCAAGGCAAGGGGCGGCTGCGACAGGCGCCTTGCAAAGCCTAGAACATAGCAACAAAGATAACAAAGGTCGTTGCTCACCTAGTGAAAAACCTGTGCAACGCGTCAGAAAAAACAGTTCCTTCTCACCCCGATGCGAACCGCGTTCGTTCGCACCGCGCACGTCCGGTCACCTTCGCGATGCGAACCGCGAGCGGCTCTACCGTTCCGGCGCACTTCGGCGAACACTCTTTCCGACCAACCAGTGTTGTTCGACAGCTGGGGGACGAAGGATGCGTCCCATGTGCCGGGCGGTATGGAGCATTGGGCACTCGTTTCACTCGTTCCGCGCTCGAGTTGAAGGGACGGAACCGCGAGCGGCTCAAAGTTCAACAGCACAGAATCGACCTGTCTCGTCATGTCACATCATGTCTCTTCCGATCACCGCACGTGGTGCTCAAGGCTTTCTGCTCGAAGTTTGCAAAACCGTCCAAAGAACGGTTGACCGAAAGGCTTCAAGTTGGAGCCATCAGGAGCCAATATATACAGCTCTAGCAAGTCGAAGCCTTAACTGGTTCATCGACTTTGTGGCAGCTCGAATCTGCTTATGTTGTGTGCAGGTGAAGGAGTCTCTCCTGCTGCAAGAACAAGCAAACAGCCAGCACGTCCTAGGCAAACACAACAGCAAGGCTGCCCTTTCATGTGAAGCGACCTGCAATATGCAAGGCTATCTGCTACAGA